CCAAACAAACTTGAAATAGCTGGTCGACTCCGACCGAGCCTTGACGAGTCTTGCTGACTGCTGATGCCGGCACCGTCTGTATTCTCGGCCGCAAATAAATAATAAACGTTACACGCGTCGTCGCTAGTCCCTATGAAAGCTGCACCCCGGACCAACCATCATCGGCTGCTTTACGACTGACGTGCGCTTCAGAAAACGGCTAACGGATGAGAACGAAAGTAACCGGCCGGTGGATAAAGTGGTTACAACGTGTTCCGTCATCTTTTCTAAACGCTCATCCCCGTCGGTGGAGGTGCGCGTTGTGATTTACGATTATACTAAGGCCCGGTTTTTCATTTTCTGGTTAATTGTTAACCAGAGTCTACGCGCGATTCTCCGTCTCTTCTTAAATAATATCATCGAAAAAGATGGAGAGTCCATTAATATAATAGAATACTGAACGAGTCTTCCTTTTAAATATACACTCACAAAATTTTACACGTATGGTTTTGTCTCTAATACTTATTCGAATCCTCGTTCGAATTATTTGAATAAATAAAATAAAAGCACAGAACAGATGCTTTATTTTACACAAGTAGCAAATAACATAAAAATGTAAGACACTTACCTTACGATTTTTTCTCCGTTGCCCGATGCCTCCCAGGGCCTCCTCCTCCTCTTTGATTTCCTTGTTGCACTGACACAACACTCACTCGCAAAAATCATCGGTCGCGCGAAATTTCGGGCACTCCCGTACGCGATGTGAAATACCGCGGAACGCACGAAATATTATTAACAAATATCGCGTCACTTTCTGTCATACGAATTACTCAAACTAACAACTTGCATTTTTGATTCGGCACAATGGATAAATCACTTTTGAATTGGCCAAGTCGCACAAATTTATTTCTTTTCCCGAAAATGGAACAGATCACACGAAAGCGATAGATAATTAAAAGCGCGGTGCGTAAACGAGATGTAACCGCGACAAAGTGCCGCGGTTTACATTCATGTTTTAGATGAGTTAGTCTCGTGAAATGTCTACGTATACGTTGATAAAGAGTCGTTGCCTCAACACGCAATTCGTTTCTCATTACAGGCTGTAGAAACTTAATAATTAATCGAGCAACGTTACTTGTTACAGATAAAGGTGTGCAAATCAATAGTGTTTTATCCCTGCATTCACCGCGATCGAGTCTTGGAAACCGATAACGCAAAAGTAATAACACGCGCGGAGCGACTCTCGTCACTGCCTGCCGGCTCGACGTTCGGCGAGCGAGTGCTATCGCAGCGACCTTCAGGTACACGATGGCACGCAAAAACATCGTACGTCACCGTGCCGAGTGAAAAACAACAAAAAAACGTAGAGAATTCGTTGGCCCGCTTAATCGTCGTACGATACCGCGCCGAGTGAAAAACAACAAAAAAAACGTTGAGAATTCGTTGGCTTGCCTACGCAATGGAAAATTCCGTACTTAATATTTTACATTACTTTGTTCCGCGGCTATTACTACGTTTTGCGTATCATTCTGCGGACTTATTGGTATTGATTAAATTAACGATTAATTCTGTTCAATCGAGAAAATGTTTCGAAACGAACATCGTTGATACTTAAATTCTAATTACTATTAGAGATTTTACCTCAATAGTTGGGATATACAAATGTATGTTTCTAAATTGCAAATCTTCACTTACTATGAATCTAAAGCGTCGTCTACAATAGGTGGAGTAAGCTTGGCGTAAGAAGTAAGAGTAGGCGTAAGAGAATTTGGTTTAAGAGAGCTGGAGTAAGGGCGTAAGCGAAATGAATTATTTTTATTTCTTACGTTTACGCTCGACCAATCAGAACGCAGGAGGAAAACTCAGGTACGCCAAAAACGTTACTCCTACTCTTACTCCACGCTTACGCCGGTTATTGTAGACGACGCTTTAAAGAGACGTGAAGCACACCACGCTTCGAGAAAACAAATCGCGGAAAAGAGGCCTCAACTGTTCGATATTAACGACATTCGCGCTGATAACTTCTCTTTTTTTGAAAGGGAAATGAAAACTTCTAAAATGTGGAATAAAATAATATGTATCGTCTTTTGTCGAATATCGTGGTGCCAACTTCGTGCGTTGTAAGATGGAGGGAAAATTTATTCTAAACGCAAGAATACTCGTATGTATATAGAGTTACTCTTGTCTCAATGTAGTAAGTCTTCTTCTTCCTCGTGTATCAGGCTTAAAGCCTGTTTTATCCAATTCTCGTTCTTTGAGCATTTGGTTTTACTTCATCTTCGGTAGGCTGCTAACCTTGTCGGAGGAAACCTCCCATCTGGAGGGCTATACCCCTAAAGGGGTATGTGTGGCAAGATACTCTCGGTGGCTGCCACTTTCCTTCGGGAGATTCCGAAAAAAAACCAGCGGTATCCGTGAATTTGAACTCGGATCTTTTCGTTCATTTGTTTACTATAATATAATATTATTATATTATATTATAGTAATTTAATCTTTTTTAATTAGATAGAGGAGAATAAAAATTATTGATTTTATTTTGATATTGTCTTACTTTTGTACTGAATGAGGCTGTGAGAAATATAAATGCGTCAAGAATTTTTCTTGCCCCGGTAACAGAAATTTCTTCTAAGGGTGCGGACCTAAAACGTTCGCTCGTCTTCAGCGTTTTCGTTTAAAAATATAGTAATTTGATAAAAAAAAGAAAACGCGTTTCATTTTTAATACAATTGGATGATACTTTACAGTCGCTCACTCGCAAAAGTGTGTTTGACCACGGAATGGGCGTAAAAATGCGCTTTTTATCGTGCCGGAAGGGCAGGGTTAAAACGGAGATACGCTACGCGAAATTGCATACCGATTACATTGCCAGTTATCGCGCGTATCAACGACGCTGATTATCATTCCAAGTAACGAGTGCGCTTTAGTCACTTTTCGAACGACCCTCGCTCTCCCGTCGATACACCATGACCACCGCTCCTTCCCGTTGGTGCCCCAAGGGCAGCTGGGAGTGCTTCCGAGCCCTAAAGCCACACCCTCGATTCTCATTAAGATTTACCGTGTAAACGAGCGTTGCCCATGTCCGGGGACGGTGCTACTAATCGAACCCCTCGAGCCGAAAGAATTGAAAACAACGCGGAGCCGATGCATGCGAGGCTTTTAGGAGAACGAGATCGCTAAGCGTTTAAGGCAATCGAGGCAAGGAACCGCGTGGCCGTTGTCTAGGCGATTTACATTTAACGAAATTGCTGCTAGGTGCCGGCACGATTATCGGTAAATTAAATCCGACCTCGCGGATTAACGGTCCACGCGTTACTGTTGCACGTTAAAGAATCAGCAAGGTAGAAAATCAACAAGTTAGGCATGTAACTCGATACACGGAACTTTGCGAAAATGGGACGTTTAAAAAAAAACTGGCATTAATTAACTAACGCGATCTTGTTATCTGATTCTGTCGAAATTTAAGTCGCAACGAGCACCCCGTCATTTCAGTCGCCCGCAACACGAAAATTACTACGACGTCGATGTCTTCTTTACAGAAAAAACTGAACTTTACGTCGAACAATTGGGATGACTGCGAAGCAATTTTGCGTAATTTTAATTATACAATTCGATAAATATCTTAATCGAGTCAGTAAAGAACTGTGATTTACACTCAAATATTTAGATTAATTAGCGTAATAAAAACGACGAGGGTTTCGGAGCAAATTGGAGCGAGACCGTCGATAGTTTTAGAGAGTTTAGGCAGCGAAGAGCCTGACTCACTTGCTTGGCTTTCCTCCTGACTTGGTTCGCGGCGGGGCTACGGCTTCTCTCGTCCTCCCCGTATCCTGTGTTCCCCACCCGTTCCCCTAGACCCTGTCCGCGTTTCACCCTCTCTCGGGGGCCCGTCGTCCTCTCCCCCTCTATAATTTTCACCCGAATACCTGCTCTAATTATAGGTGTTTCGTCACGGCGAAGAGAGTATTCTCTCCTTGTGTCGGTAGCTCGCGGGCGGCGCGGTATCGTCTTAAGGTGTTTTATCGTAAGGCTGATGGCAGAGAACAATCCGTAAACGCTTAAGACTGCCTTAGTCGTAGACGTAAGGCAGGGCAGAGAAAAACTTGAGTCGCGGCGTGAAAGTCTATTGTATACGACTTGAGTGTTGCCTTGCCTCGTCTTACGTCTATACGTATGGCAAGGCAGCGAAAAACTTGAGTCGTGAAAGTCCATTGTATACGACTTCAGTGTTTCTTTGCCTTGTCTTACGTCTACGTCTGCGTAAGGCAGGGCAGAGAAAAACTTGAGCCGTGAAAGTCTATTGTACGCGACTTAAGTGGTTCTCTGCCTTGTCTTACGTCTACGACTAAGACGGACGAGGGGGTACGTCACGTTGAAAAATATGTGACGTTGTTAAGTCTCAAGGAGTTAGATTTCCTCGAAACAAACAACCGTTCTCTGCCGTTAGCCCAAGATGATCCCCAGCGCGTTCTCCCCGAGCCTCGCCTTGGAAAGGTGGGCTCGTGGCATCGAAATACAGAGTCCGCGCATAGAAATTACATAATGTGGATCATGTCTATATTGTGGGCATCCATCAACAAGACATGTTTCTGTGACACATTTCCCCTCAAAATAAGACTCCCAATTTCGAGGTATCTTCCCTCCTATTTTGGTGGATTTTGATGTATTATACCTGATAATTGCGCATACTTTTTATTTGAACGTGTACCTCCGATTTTTGGCGGTACACGCCTAAGAGTGCACACGCGATGGAACAACGGGTTCTCCGCAGAGGTCGGTAATTAACCACCTCGAGCCGTAGTGATTAAAAACTGACGCGTACCGTTCTGCCCCGTTGAAAATCTGGTATCTCTGGTAAACGAACGGAGAGACGAGGGGTGGCGGCTGAACGCGCCGTTCATTCGCGACGACCCGTTATTTAGCGGCGCGCCTAACCCGCGCGCAATGAGGCGTGGAATTAATTAAATTAATCACTCGATATAACCGTCATTACGTTATTACAAGGCGCGTGTTCTGCTTTATAGGTACTTGGGGCTGGAGCCGAGGCTGACATCCGGCCCGATCCAAGGGAGCGGCGTGGAGCAGCAGACGCAGATCGCCGGCGCGGGTGTGATCGGCCCGGCGAGCGCCGAAAAGAACTGTAAGAACGCGCACCTGACCGCCAAGCAGCAGGCAATATGCTCCCGCTCGCCACCCGTCCTGCAGGTATTTACCTCGTGGCGGCCCGGGGCCCACTCTTTTTCTCCCTCTTCCTCTCGGATTAATGCCCGGGGAAGCACGCGGCTAATTCGATTCGCGGGACCTACGACCGCGTGCCGAACGTCGGCACGCCGCGCCGGCCTTCGGGCCGGTCGACCGAAATTTTTCGTCCGTCCGCTTCCGAGAAAGTTCCTCGACGGCCGCTTCGCCTCTGCGTTATAATAAACGGATTAATGTGTCGTGATTAGTAGCCCTGGGCATTATCGGAGGAATCAACGGAGGAATTACAGGGTCCGCGTCCGACAATTTCTGAAATCCGGGTTTCACCGCCGAAAGGAACTCGCGGAGAGTCGCCTCTAGACACTCGAATTCTCGGGCGGACGTCGCTCGGCGTCCTTGCAATTTTCGCGAGGGCAGGTTAACACGAAATTTGCACGCGAAATAAGAGAAACTAAGTCTGGGTATTTCGGCGGGTCTTTTCCCCCCCGCGCGCGCGATTAAACGGCCGTTCCGTCTGTAAATCTGATTGTAATCCCTCTGCCCGCGTGGCGGGATAGAGAAAGCTCCCGGCGCTGCGGCGTCCAAAGATTTACCGTCGCGATACAATAGGTCTAGGTACGAACTCTTTAAGCGGAACAAATTTTGTTTCCCGATCGGCATCGCGCCGTTCAATCTCACGCTGTACCCGTGACAAAACGGAGCCGGGGACGTCGTGCGGTTCACGCCATCCCGAAATCGCGTTTACCTTTCCTTAATGCACAAAACGTGTCGGGGAGGCGGCGAACGGCGGCGAACGGTCGTCTAGGAATCTATCTAGGTACCTAGGTAAACCTGGTGGAACCACGATATTCTCTTTGAATATCGCCGACAGCGCGGTGTCGCTCTCCCGAGCGTGTAAGTTACCGACAAAAGCAGGACCGGGCATGAATATTCATACGTCAATCCGGGGTATCGAGGTTTAATTTTTTAACGAGCGACCAGATCCATTAAGAGACGGCTAAACGCTCTCCCAACGATCTACGGAATGTCCGCCGCTGCTCGATACCCACGTGGACTTGGGCCGCGCGCGACTTACGGTTTATTAAAGCGCGCCGTCGTATACTTTTGCACGAGCCGGCAATTCGTTTTATCGCAGCACGGTGGACATTAGATGATAATTTTCAGCGGTAGCGTGTTTTTAAACGGTGACTCATACGCGTCGTAAGATAAAGAGAAAGTCTCTCGGTAAATTATGACAGTAGGGGCCGGAACGTTAAATTAAACCGATAAGTTTGCCGAATGTTCCCGGCATGTAAGTCCTGAATATATAAAATTTGTCCGCTCTCGGACCTTTATGCCTAACTTGGCTTTTTTTTTGTACGCGAGAAAACGTCACCGACAAATCGAGAGTTGGGAGATGTTAAAAACGGGAAACGCCTGTTTGAGCAGTGGCCGCGGCTCGATACGTCGCTCGAGAGTATCCGAAAGCGGCGTTTCTTTTGATTCTTATAGCTTTCACCGTCTTACGCTTGCAGGCAGTCAGGGCGGGCGCTAGGCTCGCCATAGAGGAGTGCCAGCACCAGTTTAGATCAGCGAGATGGAACTGTTCCGTCAGCCCGGAAAATCCCGAGAACGTGTTTGGCGGCGTCACGTTAGTCAGTAAGTACTCACGGTTCGATGCCTGACGCGGCTCGACCGCGCCGGATGTGTCGCTTCTCGCGCCTACACTTGTAACCATCGAGTACCAGCCGGAGGAGGCTGGCTGGCTTGATGGCGCGACAAAAAAATTCCGCTTGCATTTTGCAGACAGCCGAGAGGCCGCGTTCATATACGCCGTATCAGCGGCCGGGGTCGCTTACAGTGTCACGAGAGCCTGTTCCAGAGGCGAGCTCACCGATTGCTCCTGCGACAATCGCGTGAGAACGCGACGTCCGAACAATTGGCAGTGGGGAGGATGCAGCGAGGTGAGTGTCAAGGATTCTTTTACGCACAGACTTATTCCAGTATTTTGGATCTGTGTCCAATTGTCTGTTGTATCTTACGTCTATTTTTATCCACGTTATCGCCCGGAGATTCTTAGTTGTTCATAAGAGAGGACAAACGATCGGATACTAGCCATCTTTATCCGGACGCGACCGACGTGTTGCGTATGCCGTTCCAATATCGCGCTGCAAGGGGTTGGGACACGTGGCGTCGGTAATTATCTGATATCTCCTTGCCCGCCGTCTCTCACCAGCGGGTCTTTCGACGCGAATTTTAATGCCAGCCGAAGACAAAGCTCGGGCAGTAAACGGATGCGTTTCATGCGAACGGCTGACCCCTTGTAGACATTGCCGGCTTACAAGGGGATTAAGGGAGCTAAGCTTGTTAAGTTGCAACAACCCACCGGCCCCCTGTCCTCATCCCCCGTTTCCCCTGCAATCCGGACACGTAACTTAGTCGGGCAAAGAGGAACGAGAGTTCGCGCAACACACGTAGACGCGCGTGACACGTGCAGAAGACAGTTAGGTATATGCGTCTGTCAGAGTATCTAGGACTATCTATCTTTGAATGGCAAAGTATCTTACATTCAGAATTTATTATTAATTAACAATGAAATAAATGTAGCAATCTCACGTTGTAATTAATAATCATCGATTGCTCATCATTTCTTGATATAAATCAATTAAGAGATTCTCGCGAGGAACGCGAGTATCAAGCTTGATGATATGAGCGTACAAATTACTCACGATGATCAATACCTTTTTTATCTTTATACGCCGATTGAGAGATGAATCTACAAGAGCACTTTGCATGAAGAAAAAAGAATTATTTTGGACTGGAGATTGTAAAATTAAATTGAAATTATAAGCTAAAACTCCTTCTCTTTTTCCCACCCTCTTATCTATCGGTTCTTTTCTGCGACTTTAATGTCTCCTAACATCTATCTTATCAAGAAAATATCGCGTGACAATCACATTAGAGAAATTCTCATTTAGACGCGAGAGCCAGGGCGTGAGAAAACGTGAAAATCGCGGGGAAGGGTCGGATGTATCTTAACGAGGGTGAGTCCGGTGGACAAATTCCTCGGATAACCGGCGACACAGAACTCGCAGGTAATGATGTTTGCCCGCTCTCTCGTCGAGCAGCCGGCAGGAGGGTCTCGCTGTTAAAGGCCACCGGGCCTTTTTGTCTTACTATCGCTTATGTTATCAAGCCAGCTCGGCAATAGTTGAAAAACATTCGTGTAGACCAAGTGATATCGCGACAGTGGAAATCAGAGTGTTAAGATCGGCACGTTAATCGCTACGACTATTTGTGATTGAATGTTTATGATTAAAAATTTATTATCAAAATCGCAATGATATTTATGGTTAAAATGGATATGCGGGATTGAAGCAAAAATTATTTATGGTTGAAAAAGAGTATTCAGGAGGTAGAATATCTTAATCGATACTACAGAAACTTGCGATAATTTGTTGGAAAAATATATACGCGCGGCTTTTTTAATCTAAGCGACATTGGAAGAACGAAACACGCAGTCTCCTTCAAGTTCTAATCACGGCGATTAGGGTGTATGACGCGCATGAAAATGAAAAATACGGGACTTGTTTATTTCTCGCTATCACAAGATGCTATCGAAGACCCTCGGTGACTTGACTACTACAGTGGGCTGTCGTCGATAAGTCGACGTGCATGATGAAAGAGTGAGAGAGAGAAAGTAGCAATGCTCGAGGGGAAGGATTAGGTTTAGACAGCATCTGACAGCGAAAGCAAAGAGGGCACGATATAATCTCGGTTTGCCGACATGCATCGGGGAAACATCTGGAAACGACGAAGGCAGGATTATTAATGCGTTAAAATAAAGAAAAAAGTATTTAGATACAAAACGTAGTTTAGTAATTCAAGAGGAAATGTTCATACGGCGATGATAACGTAACATTGGCCTAAAACATTGTTATATAAATCACTACGTAAATAACTCGAGGTGATGTAAAAGTTATTTCGCAGTATAAAGGTGAAATATGGCAAGACGGGATTCTCAAAATTTTGCGCCAAGTTGTATCACGCCCGTATTTGATGATATGCGTCTGTTTAGTTCGCCAGCATCCAGCGCGAAACTTGTACACCGCGTACTGCGCATTCGTAACCATGAATCGCGCGTAAAGCTGCTTCGGAAGTTTCAAAGCTGGGGGTCTTTAAGGACCGCGCGAAATCTCCTCGGCAGGCTTAGGACCTGTTCGCTTAATCTCCGGCCGTTCTCGGCTCGTCGCCGCGAAATGAAGGGAAGCCGGACGATGCAAAGAAAAGAAAAAAAGAATCTGAAAGAGTCCCCTTGGAGGACATTCGACTCCAGATATCGAGAAGTCTTCTCGACGCTCCTCAAAATCTTAGCATTAAGTTTTCGTTAACGTTGTTTGGAAAACTGTATTGAGAAACATGCGTGGACCCTGCCGCAGGATATACACTTCGGGGAAAAGTTTTCGCGGGAATGGTCCGAGGGTGGCGAGGAACCAGTGAAGGAGGGTGCTCTGTACGGGCCCAAAGGGTTGGCTGGCCAGCTGATGAGGAAACATGATAGCGAGGCCGGCAGACGCGCCATTCGCTCCAGAATGCAGCGCGTTTGCAAATGTCACGGTGAGTACTGCTCTACGGAGGAGAAAAGCCTTAACAGAATTGAAAATTCTGTTGTGTCTGTACTCTACGATATTTTGATTTTTCGAGTCATTTCTTTTATACTAAATTTCGTTCCGAAAACTTTTCATTTTCGGCTTTCTCTTTCTTCGGGGCCAGTTTCACAAACTGTCGGTCAACTGTTAACCAGAGTTCAGTACATTTGCCACGATTAACGCCACTTGCTCACCCCCGAATAATTGTCCATCCTCTTTCTTCTGTTGCACCAGGCATGTCTGGCTCCTGCAGCGTGCGCGTGTGCTGGAGAAGACTGCCGTCGTTCCGGGTGGCAGGAGTCGCCCTGGCGGCTTTGCACGAGGGTGCCGCTCTGGTGCGACTGGCGCAACGCGGCGGTAAAAAACCGGCCAGGCTCAGACCGGCGCGTCCCGATCTTAAACGGCCGAACAAGACGGATCTGGTTTATCTCGAGGACAGCCCCGACTACTGCGAAAGGAATCTCACGTGGGTCTAACTCGCGCTCCGCGAAAACACCCCCGTCGACCTGGGCCATGTTGAATCCTCCAGTAGCATCATCTGTCGAATAGATTACACGAGACGTACAGCTCTCAAAAATACAAGAAGCGCGTTCGAGCCATTTAAAGATATGAAAATTAAACGAGCGACTGGACTCTCGAAATTCAAACTGAAAAAGGATTTAGGCTGTGAGAGTCAAACGCGGTTATTAGTGCGCGTCGGTCTGATATAATTGTTCAGATACAATTCTTGATTGCAAGTTCCGGACGTTACGGTTAATGCGCGAGGATATGCGCAATTGCAGAGTATTGGGGAAAATTGTGAGGAAGATCCGGGCGGTGTCTCGCTTCTACTTCATCACGAGCTTTGCCGGCGTGTTTAGGAGACGCGGGGATTCAACATGGTCCGAGGGAGTAATTACGAGCAAGCCGTCTGTCGTCGACGTCGCGTCGTTTCTTCGTTTTGCGCTACATTACCGTGTGCTTGCGCGCAACAATGCCGTAACTCTCGTTCTCTCCGCAGGCTCGGTATTCCCGGCACGCGAGGAAGAGTCTGCAATCGGACGTCGCTCGGTCTCGACGGATGCCGGCTGCTGTGCTGCGGCCGGGGCTACCAGACGCGAGTGCGGGACGTCACCGAGAAATGCAAGTGCCGATTCGTCTGGTGCTGCCACGTCAAGTGCGAGATGTGCCGGCACACGCGGGAGGAGCACGTGTGCAACTAGGCGGCAGATGCATTCCGGGGCCCGGTCTGTCTATGGGAACGCGCTCGCGTCGTTCTTTATACGTTTGGAATAATTATTCGTTGCCACGTCGCGTTGTATATCCGCAATTAACGCCGCGAGAGGCTACGCATCACGTCGATGCGGTTTCCGCCTGACGGTCGAATAAATCGTAGACTACTCCGATTCGCACGTGAGAATGCAATGTGAGAGCGCGTTCGCTTGTGCGCTCGAAGCTCTGTTGCTTCTGAACAGAAAGCACAGAAAATATCGCGAAAAATCTATACATTCGAATGATAAATGAATTATATGTATATTATAATTCGACGTATGCATTTATTTTAAAACACACGATTTCGCGTGTACCTTCCGCTAAGAGCGCCCGCTTCACCTCCGCTTCGTATGACTCGTTGACTTAAATATTTTAATCGTCTACGATGTTTTTTTTTCATCCAGAGGCTCGAGCGAAATTGCCCGCGGCAATCAAGATTCTCGGTATTACTATTATAACGTCAACGTAATGATACGTCCGCGAGGTTGCTGTTGCGTGGCTTATCATCACCGGTCTGACTGTCAGGTGCCACATTACTTACGCGAACGTTAATGCATCGAAAGTGTGAATGTGCTACTTTAATTAACATTTAATCGTTTAATTTTATCTCGACCCGGACGTACCGCGGAGGAGAGGCTTATATTCCAGAGACATTGACGCATGCACATGCATGTCCGCTTTACGTCATTGGACTCGCGCGATCTGACGATTCGCGTTCTCAAGTAACAATGCGAGCACGGTACGCCATCAAGTTTCCCTCATCTCTTTCCCGACTCTATTATATACATATTATACATACGTATATACATATATATATTTATTTATTTGATATAGCTATATATGTATATCTCATATAATTAGTACGCGCATTCTTTTATAGCGAGAATCGAGTGATAGAAGATTTCTTCGGTACTTTATCTAGATTTCTCCTCGTGACATATTTACGCATCTCGCGAGGCTCGACGTCGCGCCCTGATGTGCCAATTTACTATTTCTGCGTGCGACAGGAAGAGAAAGAGAAAGAGAGAGAGAGAGAGAGAGAGAGAGAATGAAAGAGCGAAAGAGAGAAAAAAAAGAGAGCAAGTGGGAGTATGCAAAGGAGAGCAAAAACGGGGTAATATACCACGCGCGTCGATTACTTTTTTCCCCTCCCCCTGCTCTCTCGCATATAATACGCGTATAATACGCGTGCAACCTATTTATATCGAAGTAAAGACCTCCGCACGGTGTCTCGTAGGTATCTCACACTGTATATCGATGCTCTCTAGTGCATAGAACCTTTGTTTTTTCATCCAATTAAAGAGCAACGTAGCGACGGGCGCGAGAACGAGCGATGCGAGTGACGAGGCGGTCCACGAAATCCGCCACGAGATCTCCCGCGCCCTTAACTCGCACGAATCGGGAACAATACTGCCAATGAATGTAAATATCTCACTGTTTTTCTAGACCTACGTCCGTAATCATCGTTGTATATACATGAGCGTTTCGTCGGCTTCGTTTAGGAAAATCTCTTGCGTTGCGTTTCTTCACAGTCTACACACGAAATACTCTTATCCCATCCGTGATTTTATCTCTCACTATTTTATATATTTAATATGATAAACACGATATATGTATATGACCGCATTATCGCATGCCGCGCCAGTTAAGTCGGCAGTCTAGTCATTTACGAATTTTCTGATTCCCACATCAGCAGGCACTATGCTCACAACGAATTACACGCGAGACTCTGCATTTTCTTCGGCCGAAATCGTAGTAGCATAACGCATCGCGCAATTATTATTTTATAGTTCTAGATATTAGATATTATACGATGTCTTATAAAGACGAATCTGTAATTTCTCAAATAATCTGCTGGATTAATTTATTCGAGCTATTAGAAAGCGTTATTTAAATACATTACATAGTACTATCACATATGCACGCATACATATGCATGAGTATATCATGGTACTATGTAGCTGTGGGATGCGTCTGGGGTATACTATAAAATTTCTGCGATTAGTGAAATTGCTCTCATTTGATGAATTCTACAAGATGTTTCGCGAATATAATATATGGGCATGTAAACCATTTACATTATTTCGTGAGGCTGCACATCTATTATCTCTCTTATTTGTTTAGGATACGGCCTTAAGCAACGCATAGTAGGTATCGCGATTCGTCCGTATATTGTAAGAACCTAGCGGTAAACACGAGGGAATACGCTCGTGCCAACGACATACAGAGTTCAGTATTGACAAACTGTAATTTATTTTCTTCACGATAATACATCACACTTCATTAGACTCGTAGTCTCTTCAGTCAAATTATGAGAAGGTGTTCTCGTAATAATAATAGTAATAGCAAAATTGTCTCTTCGCTAACTATGAGATAAATCCTAGTTCGTAAAACCTTTGTATTCGTATGTACCTGTATTCTACGTGCATTTATATAAATATACATATACGGAAATGTCCATGCATGCGTATATCGAGTCTCAATGAAGCACGCTCACTGCGTGTATCGTCCCTTCGTTGTTTGCACTTTGTTAGCCTTCATAAGATAACGTGCGACAACCGCGCTGCCCGTACAAACGATCCCGCAGATCACACCCACCAGAAGGCCAACGAAGAACCGAATGTCCTCCGTGAGTGTGCTCGCCTGACTTTTCGGCTTATGGAATTTCTCGGTGTCGTCCCTCGTCCTCGCGACGTAGCCCAACCAATAGACAAGCCTGTCGGAGGGCGGGTTCAATCTGTCGCGCATCGCCACAGAGACCTTCCGTGCGTTTTCGCGATAAGCCACCGTCTCGTGGATCTCGTGCACTATCTGCGCGAGCTCCACAGCCGAGGCGTGGTCGTTCGCGGCCTCCATGGTGCGCGCGAAACCCAACTCGATCGCGCGAGCCGCGTTGCGAGACTCGTCAACGTCCCTCGGCAGACATATCAAGGGTGCCCTGTGAAAGGCAGCTTCCAGGAATTCCACATCGGTACAATGACTCAACACCACTCGGGTTCGGCTATAACCTGCACCAACGAGGCAACGGTATTAAAGGGAGGAGAATGCCTCCACGCTATTGCCGCATTATCCTCTTTCTAGCGCGAGTATTCAATTCAATGGCGCCTCAGAGAGCTCGCATTCGCGAGGCACGTATTTCACTTGTGCGCAAATAACCGCCTGGACTCATTGTTTTCATTTACCGTGAAATGTACTGCACCGTGGGAGAGAGATAAAGGTCCCTCAATGAGCCTCCTATACTGTGTTTCAAATAGTATTTTTGTTCCATTTAAGAGTTCAAGTCTTCAACACGTTTACGTTACAGCATAAAATGTACGTTCTTTATAATCCGATTTGCGCGTATTGAAACATTCTACATTTAATTCTCATACTTACAGAAACGTCCACGCTTGTCGGCGACATATAATTACTTACCTATGAGATCTTGCCGGTCGACGTGCTCATCGATGAAAAGATTTTCCGGCGAGGCAACAGCTGAATCGCTCTTACTCCTCCAGACGACAGCTTGACCTTCCCTGCCTTGAGGCAATTTCTTTGCCAGCTCTTGTATCAACGTCACATAAGTCTCTTCTAAAAGAGCAACGACGGTGCCCGTCCTATATTCGACTAATGACTTTTGCAGCTTCTCGGGTAAGGGATGTGCGCCTCTGCAGTGATGGCAGCCAACCTGGGAGCAATTTTAAACCGGCGATGAATCATAATTTTCGGAGGTCCGCAGAGATTAGACTCTGAACATAAAAAAAAAAGAAAACGGAACGAAGAAGTGCGCATTTTACAAACCTCCACGAGTAGCTCCGTTAAAGATGCAAAGTCGGAACGTAACACTGCGTCGCCTCCCCAGAGCACCAGTCGAACATCCGAGTAGAGGTGCTCCAGATCGACGTTGACGTCCGGTAGATGTTTGGCCACTAGTCGTAGAGCGGGAATCAGATAATCGTTCTTAGCAGCGGAAAATATGGTCCTCCCCGAGAAACTTGTCGAGAGCCTTGACCAGAATCCGCCGTTATGAACCGGCAGAGCAACTCTAGTGCACTCGAATACGTAGAGTTCCTCATCCGAGTTCTGCATCCAGATTACCGGAGTGGATCCAATGTGCTTCGCAAATGGAAGCAAGCAGCCATCGTGTCTGAAAAGACAGCCAGTCGCAAAAGTGTATATTACACATGTACGTGCGAGACATCGACGTTTTATCGAGTTAATCAAGCCTGGGCTTCTCATCGTAATGAAACCGATCTCAGAATCGATCTACCTTAACGCTGGAAATATAGTGAACGTGGGTTGAAACTCTTGTACTTTCTTCAGTATCTCCTTGTCCCCGAAGAGATTGTCGCACGTCTCCAATGCGCGTTTGTCCGTACGCAACGATTTATCGACGTCGAGGTGCAATACCTCAACGTCTATCAGTTTGTTATAAAGATCGTTAGCTGCATACGTTGGTATAATCAACGTCGTGTCGATCCCCTGATCCGACAGAGTATTGGCCAACAGTGATAGGTCATAAACGCTCTCAAACGCGACTACCAGAGCCGACAGAGGCGGCGCTACCAAAGTAGAGCTGCTCGCGAACCGCAATAAATAAAAGCACGCGTACAAGCCAACTAGCGTCAACATAATTGCGTCGAGGCGCAAGAAAATCTTGGTCGTAATTTCCGTTTGGATAGGATTAATAAAATTTGTAAAAGTGACGCCTGATATTCGACTAGATTGTTGGTCCAATATTGCACAAAAGTGGCGTGCGTTTTCTATTTAGGCAATCATATGCTTTCAAATTTCTTGGTAAAGACTACACTCGGCCTGGTGTTTCGCAGAGTGGGCACAGAACCTAAAAAGAAAGATGCGAGCAAAATTAACAATAAAAATATGCAGACAAAACATTGGTGTGCAAAAACCAATAAATATCAAGTCAAACATTAAGAGGCGACAAAAAGTAAGGTAAAAAAATACACAGTTAAAGCGTCGATGTGTAAAAAAAAAAAAATAAACAATTGCAAAGTCATCAAATATGCGGAGGACGGTGAGACACGTCTGCAGGACGTTCCAACTTGCTCGAGAATGTGATACTCGAAATATTCACCTCCGATCACCCTTCGACGTCCGGATTCGTCCGCTCTGCGCGTACGGACGACAGAAATTTTTATATCAATGCGCGTCGATCATTGGCACGCGACACGAATCGCCGATCGCGTCAAGCCCCCGGATTGCAGCCTTCGACGCAGGAATCGTCTTCTCCCAGCAGGCTCGCGTCACGCCCAGCGAGGACTCGGGGCTCCGGAGAGGCTCTTACGTCCGCGGCCGTCGGCGCGGCGTATGAATAACTCGTATCCGAACGCAGAACATCCGCGAGGCGTCCACGCGCGTCAGCGTGGATTGCGTGGACCCGCTCGCCCTCGCCCTGCGCCCGGCGTTTCCCGCCGGCTGCACGACCACGAATCCGCCTTTCATCTTATCGCCACTTTTCTCTCCTGTATTGGTGGCTTATCTTCAGCCGAAGGGCAATACGGCCAACTTCCAAGTTGTACGTTTGACTCCGGCGAGAATGAAAATTGTCGGATCCAAATACATGCATCTGCGAGTGTGTGCGAGAGTGTCTCTCGGTGTTGTCATCACGTGACAATTAAGGTGCCATTTCATAGAGCGGAGAGAAGCTAGCGTACGTTAAACCGCGTCTCTCGCTGGAAAGTACCCCTACTCTCGAAGGAGCAAGAACCGAGAGAGCAGTTTTCCCGCCGCGCGATTGGTCGCCGCGTGCGCGCCGCCGCGTCAGATTGGTCGGCGCCCGCAGCTCGGTTCGTTTCCGACGACTCGATCAGTCGATCAGTTGATCCTCGATCCGGTCGACCGTGTTTTCTGGTGCTTCCTTCAGAACAAGCGGTGTAGCGCGTGCGGACCGGAGTCCCGGAGAGTTGGCTGTTCAATCTCGACGGTCGGAGCGAATCCGGAGTACACAATGGCTACGCCTCCCAATACCGGACTGTCCTTCGGCGCGCCGAAACCTGCAACAGGTATAACCAAAGCGAAAGCAAGGAATCGGTAGCGTTCTCGCTCGGCGTAGAAATCGCGCCCGGTATTTCAATGGCCGCTGGCGCGCTTTCGATTGCAAGGTCTCACCGGCTTGACGTTCGGCACTCCTCCGACCACCATGGCCCCCCCGGGGACCGGCTTCGGCCTCGGCGGCGGGGTGACCGCGACGACGACGTCCATCTCCACCGCGTCGAGCCTGCCGAGCTTCACCAACCTCGCGAGCAGCGGGACGGGGCTCGCGTTCGACCCCGCCAAGGTGTCCACGACCGCGGCCACAGGATACCCCATCGCGACGACCACGGCGGGGGGCTTCACTTTCGGCGCGACCAAGCCTTTGGCAGGTAAGTCGTCCTGGCACGACCGGGCCCGCTCGCCTCCTCGCGGCACTAGAGAACTGTAAGGTGGCCGATGAAAATGCTATGTTGCACGTTGACCAAACCGGCAATATATTTATTTATCTACGTTTCGGCTCCGTTTCAAGCCCCTCCCAAGTAAACTGAAACCATATATATTATAGACAATAATATAAAATAACAAATGAAGAATAAACTGTAAAACTTTGAAACAATTGTCACACAAATGATTTTATGATGTAACTACCGTAACTCGTACGCTTTCAAGGGTCCGCCGGCTTGACCTTTGGCACTCCAAACGCCATGGCCCCTGGAACTGGGTTCGGTCTCGGCAGCGCGATCGCGGCTACAACGTCCACGCCGAGCATGCCGAGCTTCAGTCTTCCCAGCAGCACGGCGGTGACGTCCGTGACGCCGGGACTGTCGTTCGACGCCTCGAAGACGGGGACCGCCACGACCTCGGCCGCGGGATTTGCGCTCGCGGCAACTACCGCCGCAGGATTTAGCTTTGGGACGTCCACGACCACCTCCGCTGGATTCCCTTTGAGCAAAACCACTTCCGCCGCTGTTTCGACGAGCCTGGCGGCACCCCCTACTCTTACCTCATTGGGCACCGCCACTACGTAAGTACTGCTAATTACAGAATCCATATTTAGAATAGTTGACATTTGCCAAGTTGCCAAGTTCAATTATTTGACAGCTTTGACATTGACTCGCTGCGAAAATCTTTTGTCGCACAGTGTCAGTTCCGCGACTGGTATTCAACCGGCGGCCATCAATTTCTGCCAGCTCGAGGAATCGATCAACAAGTGGACCTTAGAGTTGGAGGAGCAAGAGAAAGTGTTTGTAAATCAAGCGACGCAGGTCAACGTTTGGGATAAATTGTTGATTACAAACGGGGAGAAAATAGTGACGCTGAATCAGGAGGTTGAACGGGTGAAGATCGAGCAGCAGCAATTGGAGCAAGAGCTGGACTACGTTGTAAGCTACGCATATGTATTTGCAATTGCATGACTTTTCTATTCTTTAAGTTAATTATTGAACTTGCACATTAAACTAGAATAATACCGTTTAGGTTGGACAACAGAAAGAGTTGCAGGAATGCTTGGTGCCATTAGAAAAGGAGCTGGCGTCTCTTTCCGTCTCGGATTCCGATCGAGAATACACCTACCGTTTGTCAGAGAATCTCGATACTCAGCTAAAATCTATGTCGGAGGATCTTAAGGAAATCATAGAACACCTAAACGAGGCGAACCGCGCCCAAGACTCCAGCGATCCTATCGTCCAGATAGGCAAGATTTTGAATGCACATACGAACAGTCTACAATGGCTGGACCAACAGACTGCTCTCTTAAGTCAGAAGATACAGCAGATTGATCAGCTGCATCAAAGCTTCAGGCAGGAGAGCGAACAGAACTTACATTTAGCTTACAACTAGCTTTGTTCATGTTTACATATGCGTAACTTGTAAGGATTATTTTTTGATAAGTTAATTAATTTATATACTCTAGAAAAGAGCGAATGGACAGAACGTATGAATGAGAACCGCAAAAAAAATATATATATATTTTACATATAAATAACGCAATATCTAAGTTTCTTCCCCCTTTGCTCAAGAGATGATGGCCGGTATGAAATAATGAATGTTAATGTGCTCCCCCACGTCTAAAGTTAGCTTTATCATCTTCTCCTGCAACAAGTTACACTTGACGCCGTCCGGATGGAGAATGTCCCAACCCAGGAACATGGCGAGCTTCTTTGCGCTGACGGTCGCCGAGATATCGTCCGTCTCCTCTCTGCTTCCCCAAACTTTCAGCCCTTTGAAGTGACTGGACACGGCGGCGTAGTCCACCTCAATTTTTACCACCAACGCGCCACATTTATTGGCGGTCACTGTCAGCTGAGAACTCATGTTCTTCATTCGGTCCACGATGTGCCGCAGGTACTTGAGCTGCGGCGTCTCCAGCGATATCTAGAACAGGTCTCCGAGTTGTACCAAATCTGGCACGATCTACAGAGCATCGGCGTTGCTACACCCGGTGTCGTTACTAGGCGGTATGCAATGTACGCTCCAGCGTGCAAAAATTGGAGGGGCACGCGAGCGAGTTCCAGCACAGGGGCGCCTAAGGTCTGGTTTCACCAACGTTGTTTAAATTTAAGCTTAGCTCAATTTGTTGCCTCTTTTTTTTCAACTGTTATTTTATAAAGAGACAAACATGAATTAAACTAAGATTAAAGTTAAGCGACGTTGTTTAACTCTAGCTTGGCCTAATTCGTTCTTTGTCTCTTTCCAACCGTTGCTCTAGAAAGAGACAAACGTGAATTGAACTGGGATTAAAGTTAAGCGATGTTTGGTGAAACTGGCACTTAGGCCCGGTTTCACCAAACGTCGTTTACTTTTAATCTTGGTTTAGTTCACGTTTGTCTCTTTCCAAAGTAACAGTCGAAAAGAGGCAAAGAACGAGTTAAGCCAAGCTCGAAGTCAAACAACGTTGGTGAAACCAGCTCGGCTTCACTAAACGTCGCTTAACTTTAATCTTATTGCTGGTTTAATTCACGTTTGTCTCTTTCTAAAGTAACAGTTGGAAAGAGACGAAGAACGAATTGAACCAAGGGACTGAGCAGAGTGGCTGCCTTGTACTCTTACGACAATGTTCTATGTTTTAAATCAGCGGCTATACCTACGTCGAACTCGGGAATGTCCGGCATCTTGTGCTCCGGCCACTCTTTGCGCGATATGAGCTTGACGGGCACGTCGTGCACGCACTGCCGCGAGTCAACGGACAGGGTGGACAGGTCAATCTCGAACGTGAGGCAGGGCTGCCGCTTGTTGGTCAGCTTGATCTTCGTGCTCCTCGCCGTCGCCCTCAGGCTGTTCAGGATCTTGGCGATCATGGAGGCGTCGAACTCCAAGTAGATCTCGTTCTCCTGCTCGGACGTGCCGTTCATTACGTACTCCACGAAGAAGTACTGCTGCGCGAGCATCGCCCAGAGCACGGGCGTACGCTCGTCGCCGACGTTGAAGCACAGTTCGTCCGGTGTCAATCGCAACACGCAGTACTTGGCCATTCGGGATATATTCGTGACGATACCTGAAAGGAGACGTTTATGGTTAAGAAAAGAAAGAGATCTCGAGAGACGATCGGGTTTCGCACGCCGGCGTCCTCGGTGAGGTTAGAAATTGGAACTTTACTCGTAAAATCCCGCATGGCACCCGGGTCCACCATTCTGCATCTGAATTTCATTTTTTATTAAGTCACTCGCTCGTACTTAATCGTTAACACCTTCGTTGTCGCGAGTGTCAGAGAGTAATTAGAGTAATCGAGAGGATTTGCGAAATTGGCGCGAAAACTCGAAAACTCGCCGGTCGCGCATGTCTTCTGAGCTTCATTGTATTTGTCGTGCGACAAATGTTTCATGCGTGGATAAATAATAGAGAACCGACAAGTTTACTGATATTCGACAAGTAGTATTTACAATTACATTTAATTCGTATCGTCATTACTTTTTTTTTTTTTTACAAACGTAGAGAGGCACGCGTGTCTCTTTCGCTGCCGTTGATAACGCGGGAATTCCACTCCCGAGGTGACCGACCGCGCGGCGCGGCAGAGCTGGGACGAGCCTCTCTACGTGACCGACGTGGTCGAGCAACGCGCACAGTGCGACTCGACGCCCTCGACGGGGCAGGAGGTAAAACGACTCGCGGCGTCGCGTCGCGTCGCGGGGAGCGGTAACCACGGCCCCCGTAAAACCCGGTCTGTCAAAACGGTAAGCCGGCGGGACGCCGACGAGAGGGGTCTCGTCGCGAGCGCGACGTAGCCGTGAGACTCATCTGAGCGGGCGCCGCGATTCAGGGGTCCGCCGGTTCGCGCGCGGGGCAGTGCTGGACGCCGACGAGAGGACCTCTTCCCCGCCTCGACCGACGCGTCGCGCGGTTGTTTCCGCGAGGGTGAGAGCGCGAGGGAGAGGAGGAGAGAGAGAGGGCGGCCATATTGTTTAAATCGCTACGCGTCCACCACTCTCGCGCGGTTTACGCGAGACGCATCTCGGATGTTCACCCCGAGACGATGCGGCAACATGTCCCTCGGTAGAAAGAGGTGAGTGTACGTCATATCTTGTGTCGCTGCCCCTCTCCCGAGGAAAGAGGGTCGTTTACGAGGTCGCGTCTCGGACGCGTCTCCCCCGTGCAACCCTCCTTGTCTCCCCCTCCCCCCCCCCTTTCCTCGGGGTCTCCTGTAGAGTATTTAAAATTAGACAAGTCTGTACTCGGTTTACACTTTTCGCCGACCTCGTCGTCGAGGGATGGCGGGGGCGGAGGTGGACGCAGCCTCCCGGAGAGTCGCGGCGGCCGCGCGCTCCCCCGCGCCCCCGTTTTCGAAACGCGGCGTTTTTGGCGGGAAGGAACAGCGTGGGAGAGCGCGCGGAGTCGGAGCGACGCGCGATGCTCGCGTCGTCGTCGTCGTCGTCGTCGCCTTGCGGAGATACGCCCGCGGCGTCGCGTAGCCGGTGTCGCCTGAACGCGGGCCGAGGGACGCTTCCTCTAACCTTCTCGCGCGCGTCGCTCGGCGGGAGATACGCGCCGATCCCGTTCATCTCGCCGCGTGCCGTGTCGCCGAGCGGAGCCTCGGCAGCGGCAACAACACCGTCTCCGCGCCCCAAGGTGAATTCGACACTTTGCTCGCCGATCGTTCATCATTGTTATTCGACTATTGGCGAGCGTCGTCGTTTGTTTCCCGACCGAGCAGACGACGCCCCTCGCCGCGTCGCGTCACCCCACCCCTCCTCCCTCCCCGCTCTTCGGTGCCGAACGTTTCAGGCCCTGTTTGCATCAAGCGTCGCTTAACTTTAATCTGACAATTTGTTTAATTTATGCTTGGCTCTTTCCAAAGTGACAGTCGGGAAGAGACAGAGAACGAATTAAGCTGAGGTTAAAGTTAAACAACGTTGACGAAACCGGGTCTCGGATTGCATCGCGTCTGCCCCCTTGGCTTTTTTTATTGGATGGACTCACCCGATGAGCAATGCGGTTCTTTAAGGCGGTTTCGCCAACGTTGTTTAACTTTAAGCTTATCTTAATTCGTTCTTTGTCTCTTTCTAGCTGTTACTTGAGAAAGAGACAAACGTGAAGTAAACTAAGATTAAAGTTAAGCGACGTTTGGTGAAACCGGGCCTTAGGGCATCGGATAACTGATAACTAAATGTTAAAATATTCTCTGTCCGTTCTTAAATAATAAGATAGAAAAAGGTAGAAAGTCGACACTTGAACTCTGGTTAACAGTTAATCGACGTTTGTGAAACTGGACCCACAATTCATTGGCTACGGAGTATCTAAAGGTGGTCTTAAGACAGTCCTGAATATATAAAGATCCGACCATGAATCCAAGTGAAACGAAAAATGGCGGCGCTTTAATTTAATCCAAAATATATTTTCCGCTGTTATTTAAACTGTTTTCTATCTCGGTCTTAATTTGTCAATTCCCTGGCAGTTTGTTTTTTCTTTCGGACCAAAGAGTAAAACCAGCTCCCCCTTACGCCGCATTATTTGTGGGATGACTCAATACATTCGCACACGAGAATGAGCTCAGGCCTGTGTTTGTAGAGCGAAATTAGGAATTGACCTTGTTGAAAGCTGTATTTATATATTCGGACCTGACATTTGTACATACATTGATACACTTGGTATATCGATTTGTACATTGTCACAGTGAGATAATAAATTTAACTATTTTTGCAACAATTTTTCATAAGATCGTATGCGGAGTATGTAATTTTTTTTTATTTTTCTCGTACGAGCATGCGAATTTTCTTAATGCATTTTTTTTCTTTCGACATTCGCGGGGCAACACATTGATACGTTTCATTGTACTCGACGATGTTTCTCCTGGATTTGCATTATTGTGCGCGCGTTATCCTCTTTACGTCGCTTTTTATAAAGACATATCGCGCAATTTCCGGTCCGACTTGTTCTCCGGTGACACTCGCTTTTATTTTGTCCTCTCGCGTCGATCTTCATTTTCTCATTCGTGTATCAAATAACTGAGAAAGTATAAAATAACCCGCGAAAGGCGCCGCCAGATAACATAAAGCTTTTTAGATTACACTTTTGACTTGAATTTGTTACATTATTGCACATTAGGTTAAGCCCGTATCAGACTACGGATTGACCAATCAGAGTAAATTTTAAATTTAGCGATTTTTACTCTAATTGGTCGAATCTCAATCTAGGGCTCGATCACGAATCTTTTCCTCTGGCGTGAACTCGTGAAAAGTGAAAAATTTCATTGAATGAGTATTGAATTGTCCATTAAAAATTTTCACTTTTCACGAGTTCACGCTGGAGGAAAAGATTCATGTGATCGAGCCCCTAATCTCAATCTCAATACGTAGTCCGATACGGGCTTCATTCTCTTTAGATCGCTTTTTACGAAGATGTAATGCATGATTTTCAATCTCACTTGTTCTTCGGCAGCATTCGCTTTTGTTTCATCCGCTCGCACCGATCTCATCTTTCTCATTCTTGTATCCGATAACCGAGCGAGGTATAAAATAACCCGTGACGAAAGGATCGACTTTCTCCTCCGGGATAAAATACAGCCGAGAGATCCGCTAAGAGACGACGCTAAAATCGATAAATTTACTACGTCGATTTTGAAAGGAATCTCGATTCGAACTCTGATTAACTCAATCGCCGATTAATTTCACCGGTAAAATTGCTCAGAGCATAATTTCCAACTATGTAAGTCATTCGTAGGTAGGCATCAAGCCCGTATCAGATTGAGATTAAATTGAAATTTGAGCAATCGGAGTAAAGTTTACTAATATCAAGTTTGGTAAATTTTGCTCTGATTGATTGAATTCTAATCAAATCCCAATCTCAATCCGTAGTCTGATCGTAGGCATTAAGCCCTTATCAGATTGAAATTTGAGCAATCGGAGTAAAGTTTCCTAATATCAAGTTTAGTAAATTTTGCTCCGATTGATTGAATCCC